TTTGTTTATTTGTATTATGTTGAAAAGCAAGAAGATTGCATTTCCCAGAAGGATTGTCAGAAGCACTTGCTTTACTCTCCACTTCACATAGAGAAAAGCAGGCCTGGAGAAACTGGCTATTTTGAGAAAATAAAAGATGCTGAGGATGGTAGCAAGCCAGAGACTGAAGTGATTGGAAACTACCCAAGTCAACATAATAACCCTTACTTCTGTTCCAGCCATAAATGAAAATGAATACTGCAGATATTTTAGCCAGGCTAGTAACATTTCCAAGATCAAAAACATTCTGGAAATGGCCAATAAAAGCAGGATCCAACCAATGAAGGAAAGAGTTCTTTTCCTGACCCAGTCAATAAAGTTTGTCAGAACTATGAATCCATTGCTCAGATTTCCAAATACAAACTCTGCAACCATAACAATCGTGAAGATGCTATACAGTGTGCTTCCCATGTCCAGAAAAAGAAGATTCACTGCTGGTAATTTGCTAAGCTGAAATGGCTTGTGTATTCTGAAACACACACTATATTTTCAACTATAGCTTCTTTGTAATGACTGACCTAGTGTTGAAGAGAGTATTGAAGGTTTACTAATGATTCTGCATATGTTCTTGTGAAATCTTTCTCTGATATCACTGGGGGCTAAGATATTTATATCCTTCTAGAGTGTGAAGTGTAGCAGAGAAGATCATGAAGTGCATCCAAGTGTCATTTGCTAACATGCAAACAAAGTTATATTCTCTTCCACTCTTTCATTGTTTTGCATTGTCTCTGCTGAAGAAAATTTGATTATGGCAGCTTAAGTTATGGGGACAAAGATAACAATGATCTGATTCACCCAAAATGCAGCTGTGTGTACAATTTGAGTCTATCCACATCACTACTGATGACTTACAGAAAATAGGAGTACTCTATAGCACTCCATGAGTCCTCAGTTTCACATGGAGCTGTAGCTCCAGTTTTTTACGATGCCTCTTACCACCCAGTGATGCTTTCACATTTTATCTACTCCCTAGAGCATGCACTTTTCTTTCTGACCCCAACTGGCCAAAAAACAAATGTAGATGTGTTAACAATGGTTCAGAGACTAGCAAAGGAGGTGGGCTATTGTCTCAAAAAGAGTATTTGTAATTAAAATTAGTTCACAGGGACTGGTGAGATCTCACAGAGATTAAGATCACTTGATGCACTTGCAGAAGATGAAGATTCCACTCCCAGAACCATGTGGAGGTTCACAACTATTTGTAACACCAGTACCAGAGTAACCAATACCCTCTTTTGGCCTCTACAGGCACTGAATGCATGTAATGAGGAAGCAAGTATTTATGCAAACACTCATACACATAAAATAAAATAAATAAAATCCTTCATTAAAAACATTTGAACAACAAGAAGCCACCCTTCCAAGGCCTGTCCACTAACTGATGTGTAGAATCCAGAAGCATAAAGAAATGGTGAATTGAGGATTAATGCTGTGAAAGTCTGGGATTCTATTATTGTACATAACTAAATTGCTGGAATATAACAACAGCCATTTTCTAACTTAAAGCCCCAAACTCTGATATTCAGTCCAGAATGTTGGATGTTTCACCTGGTCTTCAGTATATCTTCTAATCCCTTAGAAGTAAATTCTAATACCTGCCTCAATGTGAGGACACTTGACCTTTCCAGGGAGAGTGAGGACAAGCAGAAAGAAGTTATGTCCTCTTATACAGGCTGAAACAAGAGTATGGCCCATATTAGGGATTAGTCTTCCAAGCTCAGATGACCCAGTTTTAGGACAAGTTGGTATTTCTACCTCAAATGATCCAATCCAAAAAAAACCCCACCTTCACAGGTGTGCTTAGATCCTTGAGCTTAGTTTACTCCAAAGGTAGTCAGATCAGTACCCAAGGTTAATAATTACAAGTGCTTGAAGATTAAGCTTCACCCTAGTCAGGATGGCCTTAGTCAGGAATGCAAATAACAAATATGTATATAAATGTGGGAAAGGGGGAATTTATATAATGTTGGCCTGAATGCAAACTGGTACAGCCACCTTGAAATCAATGCTGACTTTACTTTTTAAAAGAAACAGTAGAAATTGTTATATATAACCATCTATAGATGGTTATATATGTAAGAGCTTTATATCTTACTGCAGAGATAATTATACATCTTGGTTCATATATAACTCTGTTCACAATGTTTGATAATGGATATTGGAAATGTGGTCCATATACAAATGGATTATTATTCATTTGCAAAGGAAATGGAAATCATGAAATGTTCAGGTAAATGAATGGTGCTTGAAAAATTATACTGACCGAGATCACTCAAGCTCCCCTCATTCCCAAACAAATGCTGCATGTTCTCTCTCTTATGTGTTCAAGCTTCAAATACATTTTTGCATGTTTTACCTGGAGTACATACGGATTCAACCTAAAATGGGTCATTGTGAGAGATGGTAACATATTAAGGGAAGGTATAATAGAATATAGGTAAAATGAAAGAAGAAAGGGAAAATACTTGTATAAAGAAGTTTAAATATGTAGTAGAGTGATTAGGAACAAAAGGATAAAGGAAGGTTTGATGAAAATGAACGATGTATGCAAAATACTGCATAGAAACCTATATCTTTATAAATGGATGTCTCCTATCAGGTAGGTTTGTGAAATGCAAAGGTAGACAATGCAGAGAAGGCCTTTGCTCTCTGCCATGTAGACAATATTTGTTTAACCTTGCAGGAATTCTTGGGAGCTTCTGCTCACATGCTTTAATTTTGCCTGTACTTTTACTACGCTTCCCTCTCACCACACCCCACATGTCCCTGTGTTCTTGCAGTTTTATGGTGTACATAAGATTTTCTAATTAGGTAGCAGGAATTGGAGTTTATCAACCTAGTAATGTGCTATATCAAGTTGTTGAACTATTGATAAATAATGGTAGTTACAGTTTGTATTCTGTTGCTTTCCCAGTTTGTTTCCCTGAAAGCTTCTTTCAGGCTCTGTAGTCACTCTATGCGAAAGCTAGTTTACTTTTTAGGACACTGGATATTGAGGAGTTTTTTTAGGTACATGGATAATGGTGTTAATGATTGCATCGCATTTAGTAAAGCCCTGTTATTATTTTTGTTTTGTACCCCGGGGGGCACTCCTGTGTGGTACACAAAACCATCTAGAGAAACTGGACAGAACTTATGTAGTGTTTTTATACACAACAGTTGCTGTACAAATGTGAGTTATTAAAGTATTTGGTTTATTACATATAGACTCTTGATTCAATTGGTGTAAACAGGGACACAAGAACGTTAGCTTCTCCTCTTAGATTGTTGTTGGGTTTTTTTTTGAAGGTAGCTTTTTTTCCTTGTCTAGGAAGTGGAAGAATGGACTTAATTTTAAATAACTTAATCTGTTTTTCTTTTGTTTTGTTTGGTGGTAGTAGTTGGTACTGGGATTGAACCCAGGGCCTTGGATATGGTAATGAGCACATACTCTACTACTGAACTGCCTCCCTAGCTCTCCATTTTTCTTAATGAAAACAAAACTATATGTTTGGGTTTAGGCATGTTCAATTGGGCTGCTTTTTTTTTGTGAAGGCTGAGTTCATGAAAACCTAGTAGGCTATTCATGCATAAAATAAGCATCTATGCACAGAGAAGTTCATGTCTACTTTTCCACAAATGTTCCTTAATCCTCCCAAAAACCTTAGTAGATTTTATATTGGGATTTTCAATATGATCTTGATTTAGGATAGATTTCTTTTCAATCAGTGTACTAAAGTTGAGTTTAGTTGTGTTTTCACACTTAAAAAGTTGTTGATGCTTACATAAGACTTTTCTCAGGTGGCTTAGCTGCTGTTTTTAAAGAGACCTGAATCGTTTGTAAGGAATTTCTGCTTTCTAGCTTTTGGTGAAGGTTTGGACATTTAAAGTGTAGAGTTAAATAAGAAATGTTAAGTATTTCATCTTAGTTTCTTATGGATTTATGGTTTTGTTGTTTTAATAACCAAAGGAACATTCCCCACTAGAAGTAACAAAAATAAGTTTTTCTTACCAGGGGAAGGCATTTTTGTTATTTTAAAAGATAACTTACAAGTAATGGTGGTATTTACAATATACATTTTTGGTGACCATGGAAAATTATAAAAAATTCTAGCACTTTAGTTCTTTTCTTATAAATGCAGTTTTATATTAAACAGGGTAATATGTATTTTAAAAAATATGAATTACAGTGTTAAACCTATTTTTGTTTTGTGAATTTGTTGTGGAAACTTTTGTGAAATATTTCCTTACACGGAAATTTCACTCTAGGCAATCATTGGCTTATATTTATTGATTTGATTTCACTTGTGGAACTATGAGCCTATCAGTGAATGACTACTCAGATTTCAAGTGATTTGAATTGTTTACATAGTGTCTACCTGAAAGATTTAGAATCTGTTTTCTGATAGTGAAACTAATATATATGTTGGTCAGAGTAGTATATATGTTAACACTTTGCTGTGGGAGATAAGTTATAATAAGCTTTTACTACTTAGAATACATTTGGCTACTAGTTTTATAAATGATGTCACCTTCAGAATTTGTGTGAAGGTAGATGTTGGGAGCGCCTCAGGTACCTTGATCTTTTGGAGCCAAACCTGTACTTTCTAAAGTCTAAAGATTTATGTAACTGACCTTTAGCCTTAACAAAGGAGCCTTATGGAGGTACTCAGAAGAGAAACAGCACAAGTAGAACATAGGAATGCCATGACCCAGAAAGCTTGTCCAAACTCAACCAGCCCTAACCATTACCTAGACAATGGCTGTTAGCCCACCCATTCCTCTCCCTTCTGAACTTTTTACCTTGCCAATATCCTGCTCTATGTGCTTAAACAATACTCTGCTATGTACACACCTGGTACACAAAGCAACCCTCTCACCACCTCACCCCTCTCCCATTCTCCTGCTCTATCAAGTATATTAACTGCCCTGAGAAAAATTAAAATTGCCACATGATCAGCTGCTTGTCGTGTGGTCATTCCTTCGTGTCTTCTTGTCCCCATCCCAGGTCCTTAGGTCTATTGCTCCAGATTGACAACCTGCAGGTTGGGACTACTGGAGCCCAGCCATGGGGCTCAATAGACCTTTGTTCCAGGTGTTTCAGTGTTCATCAGAGGGACGTGCCCGTCCATGCATAGAGGAGTCCATGACACAGTCGAAAGTGACCCTCGACAGAGTGCCAATCGCCTGACTCAGTCTTTGATTGACTCCAGGATTCATGAACACCACCTGGGGAGAGGTGAGTAATAGGACAAAAATTTAGCAAAGAGGATTTGTATCTTTCCAGGATCAAAAAATCCCACAAGACACAGGGAATTAGAATCAAGAAAAAGCAGTTACAAAAATTCTTTACTTTTGTAGGGGAGATTTGTCCTTGGTTCCCTCAGGAAGCCCCACTCCCCCTACTTCCTGCCATAAAACAAAGATACCTATGCCAAATCCTGATTCAGTCCCCCCAAAACCCTCCCTGCATCCCGTTCTTAAAAACCCCAAGCCCCTCAAGGAGGAGGCTGCCCACTATTCCAAGCCTGCTCTCCCTTCCCTTATGGGTTAATAGTCATTTACAGTGGCTGCACACAGCAACTCCCATAAAAGATGGATCACTCTAGCTGCTAACTACAGGCCAGTACTCCACTGATGCCTGGATGCAGTCTTTCTGTGCTTTGCCTCACCTTGGTCAGCTAGCAACCAACTCAAGCAAAATAGTAAAGGTACAGGTTTTAAAGGGTTAATATGATGTTGCCATCTGTATGTCCTTAGTAATAAGATGTCTGTTCATGTCTTTTGCCCATTTTCTACTTGGATCATTTGTTCATGGCACTGTTGAGTTTTTTGTAGGTTCTCTATCAGACATGTGGCTGCTTAACTTTTTCACATAACTTGTATCAAAAGTAATTACATTTCACCAGTCCTTCATGCATGGTCAATCACTGAAAAGAGATGTGGGACTGGCCTGTGCACCTCAGTCTGTGGAACAAGAGACTTCTATTTCTAACTTGTGCCTTCCCCCTTTTATGGAGCAATGAAATCTACTCTGTTAATTAGAGTTTTCTGTTCTAAAGAAAGTTATATAAACTTTGTAATTTAACAATCACCCAGATTATAATGGTTTTAAGAACATAAGGGCATTTTATTTTTGCTATGAGTTACTCCCTTCCCTCAGCCTAGACAGAGGGATAATCTAGTCGGTTTCTGCCAACAAACCCTGCTGCCGGACATAATTCATTTACTTTTTGCCCTTTATTTTGGTCACTGGACAGTTTTCTTCTTTTACTGGCTCTGTTATACATGGCTTGTTTGCAGAATGTTGTGCCTTTCCAGGGGCTTGTAGGGCACACATTACATGCAAAAATTCTGCCTGTTCCATCTGCAACAGATCTACATTCTTGTCACTGATAGTTTTAAATTACACTGTCTCTTTAAATGTCCTGTCTGTTTGCTAAGTAAAAACCAGTTACAGTCAGACTGGAGGGCTCTGAGTAAAACATCTCTCCATAGCCTCTCAGTTTGAATACAGTTCTCCAGACAGATCCTACACTGTCATTGTAGTCACACTAAGTACAAAAAAAATTTATAACAAGGATAAACCTTACTTAGTCCCCTGTATATGCTTCCAGAGGTTAACCTTAAAACAAATAACTAAAACCAAAGTTGTTTATCCAGATTTACCTAGACAACACTCTTGGTACTTCCAGAGATCTACAAAATGTGGCATTTAAAATGTTAACTAAAAAACTTATAATGCCAGAAAATTCCAGATTCTGACAGTGACCCAAATTCTCCAAAGAAGATTACAGGACACTTCGATGTCTACACAGCGCTGACCAGGGGGCAGGATGCCCCAATGAACACCTGCTGCCAGGACCTGGCTGAAACTGTGAGCAAGTAACAGGACATTGGAGAATTAATTGCACCCCCTTTACATAGACAAAATAAGGTCAGTCTTTTCATGTCCCTCTTCTGCAGAGAGAAAAACTCTCACCTTATAGGCCTGGAAAAGATTGATGCTATTCTGTGATATTTCTACCTGCTAATAGAGACTTGGGTATGGCTAACTGTATATGGACTGGACCCTGTCATTTTTAATAGATTTAAAAACTGTAAAATTTATCCTTCTCAGATCCCTGGTAGTATTAATGGTTAAACTGTAGCCAGCTTAATAGCTCATTTAATAAAGTTCTGATAAGCTGATAGAGCAATGACTACCTGCTCTTCAGTCACAAGTTCAAGGTTTTTAGACTTATTTTAGTTGTCATCTAAATATAAACTTAAAGGGCTTTTCATCAGGCCAAAGGTGCCTCTGTCCAATCTACACCTGACTCACAGGACAGAAGAAAAATATGCAAGTTTCTAGCTCAAACCTGTAGGTTTTGCTAGGACTCAAAGGTATGAGTCTGTTCCTGTTGCTTTACAGATACCTGATGTCTGCTTTCCTATAATGTAGATTTTGGTACAGATTGATAATACTAATACATCTAAAACTTTTAAGTCTTTTGTATAATAAAGTCCATATAGGCTTCAAAGGATCAAAAGTCATAAAGCTTGGATCCACTTCCCACAGTTCAAAAGGACTCCAGATAAGTACAACTTTTTATTATTGCACCTGTCTGTTCCTGATAATGGAATTTTCCCCCTGGTCTTTGAACTTCTGCCCTTCCTGATCACTAAAACTATGAACCTAAGAGTTCTAATTAAGTATATTAGTTTTAACTTCTGTTCCAAATTTAAACATGTCTCAAACAGATTTCCACTTCTGGTTTCCACATCTGGCAGACACGTTGGAACATCAGTTGCTGACTACAGTCTGCTCCTAAAGACAAAGAGCTCTAATCTTGCTGTGGATATAAACCAGTCCAGCCAATGTGAATGCTCCCTATTTCTTCAACAGAGTCTGCCAACAAGATGCTTCTGATAAATACTCTACTGTCTAAATTCCCTCTTTGCTTTTGCCTAGCATTCAGAGTATGTGGGCCTCTGACTACAACACCCCAAAGTCTGCAGGAAGTATCACAGAAAAGAATATATCACCCCATTTCCCTGGTTGAGATGCTAAGTCAAAGAAAAACTCCCTCACATAGGGAACAAGATAACAATAAAAATTGTCCACTAGTAACACAGGATTGGGTTACTTATAAGAAGAGGAGGGAATGAAAGTGGCAAACTAAACTCAAAGGCTTCATTTCTAATAATTTAGAAATAAAGGGACCAGATCCTAACTCAGCCCCCTGCTTTAGCAGCCATGATGACAGGCTACAGAAAAGACATGTAGGCCTCTGATACATGGAAATTCCATATCCTCTGGCCTCCTGGAGTCTAGGGCCAAAACTAAACACAAAGAAAACCCATTTCCCACCTCACCCTGCAGCAGGTCATTGGATCTGGCCTATGCATCACCTCCCCTGCCCATCCTCCCCCTCCCCCTCCCCCCTCCCCCTTCCCACACTTTGTTTAGCAATACCACTTTAGTCCTCAGCTCCCCTGATTGTTTTGCTTTCCCCCCCAAATGGTTCTTACTGGGCCTGCCTTGATGGTCTTACACCCTGCCTTTCCACTCCACTTTTCCAGGAGTTTGGCTTCTGTGCATTGGTACAGGCCATCCCTCGTCTATCCTATTACCGTCCTGATGAATTCTTTCATTTCTGGGAGACCTCCCAAGACCTTTGCATATGTAGAGAACCCATTACGGCTGTTACACTTGCTGTCCTTTTAGGAATTAGTACTGTTGGAGCCAGTATAGACATCTCTGCCATGGTAACTGGTAAATCCAACTACCAGGACACCAGTGCCTCCATTGACAAAGACATTAAGGAATTACAAAATCAAATAGTGTATTTAGAAGAGTCACACCAATCCCTGGCAGAAGTGGTCTTACAAAATAGATGAGGCTTACATTTACTCTTCCTCTAACAAGGGGTTCTTTATGTGGCCCTGAAAAAAATGTTTCTATGTAAATAGGTCAGGAGTCATCCATGATAGCATGGCCAGGGTTTGAGAAAGTTTAGAAAAGAGAGAGAGAAAAAAAAACAAGAATCCTGGTATCAAAATTGGTTCTCCACATCTCCCTGGCTGACCACCCTCTTACCATCCCTCCTGGGACCCCTCATGGGGCTCCTTTTGGTGGTCTCTTTTAAACCATGGGCATTCCAAAAACTAGTTAACTTTATCAAACAACATGTTGACTCTGCCACCTGACAAGTCTTGGTACAATATCATCATCTAATGATGAATAAGGAAGAGGAGGCTCCTTTGGAGTCATCCCATAACACACGCCTGGGAATATTCCCCAGGCCACCCAACATGACTGCCACCTTCAGAGGGCATGCCCTCAGGTAGGGAGGCATCCAGGTAACAAGCCTGCGAGCATTGTGGAAGGTGCTTTAGACCCCCATCCCCTAAAAAGCACCAAGGAACAGGTCCACCACCGGGGTCGCCCCCAAGAGGATGTCCTCATGGTGTTGTACAAGTTCCCCATCATCTGTAGGGGCCAGGCCTCTATACCCACTCTACTGACAAATCAGGCCTCCTCCATTTAGTAAAACAAAAGAGAGGATATGTCGGGAGCTCCTCAGGTACCTTGATGTTTTGAAGCCAAACCTGTACTTTCTAAAGTCTAAAGATTTATGTAACTGGCCTTTAGCCTTAACAAAGGAGCCTTCTGGAGGTACTCAGAAGAGAAACAGCATAGGTAGAACATAGGAATGCCATGACCCAGAAAGCTTGTCCAAACTCAGCCAGCCCTAACCATCACCTAGACAATAGCCGTTAGCCCACCCATTCCTCTCCCTTCTGAACTTTTTACTTGTCAATATCCTGCTCTATGTGTTTAAACAATACCCTGCTATGTACACACCTGGTATGCAAAGCAACCCTCTCACCCCCTCACCCTCTCCAATTCTCCTGCTCTACCAAGTATATTAACTGCCCTGAGAAAAATTAAAATTGCCACATGATCAGCTGCTTGTAGTGTGGTCATTCCTTCATGTCTTCTTGTCCCCATCCCAGGTCCTTAGGTCTCTAGCTCCAGGTTGATATCCTGCAGGTTGGGACAGGTAGAAAACTCAAATTGTCTTGTATCTATTGTTAGATGCATTCTGATGTCCTAAATATGATGATTATAGAAACTGTTCGGTTGCTCTTAAAAATGGACCCACACACGATAAAACCATGCATTTGGGTGACTCTCCCAAATCGTAAGGCTGAGGACTGCGGAGTGCATTGGTCTTCAGCGTCTTCACCAGCAGTGCCTCCTGCTAAAATGTGACAGTCTCTCAACATTAAAGAAACTGGACATGTGCTTTTCCTGTTATTTTTGTTAGACTTAAATAGTAATAAGCAAGTTTCTTTTTCCTGTTGTAGCATTTTACTACAGAGCTGCTAGACAGGTCTTTATTCTTAAATTAATCTCAAACTGGATGTAAAAATTTTTAAATATTTTTTATTTATATTTTAACAGTAGCATAAGAGCTCTGGCTGTTATTTAGTTATTCTGTTTTCTGGATAGAAGCTATTTGAAAAGTCCAGTTTCTATCCCAGGGTAGCAAAATGTACTTCCTCATATTGTGGTTGTTTTGTGTTTTATAAATTTACACTACCTTTTGAATATAAAAACCTCATTATTCATTGGACAGTGTGAATGCTTTGATCTTTTTTGAAGTTAAATTTGACGTTGCATATGTCTTTGGCATTCCCTCAGCTCTGAGATGTACTAGCCACTACATACAAAGGCCAGAGAGGCCAGGGAAAAGACTGTACTATGAGACTTACTGAGGAGTTTACATAAATCATATCAGTGACAGTCCTCTTAGATTTTGTATTCTACTTAGTTAAAAAATAAGTTACCACAGGAGGCTAGTAAGTTTGATGATATTTTTGCCAAACAAACTCAGCCAAAATTCCTAAAGTGGCCGTATGGGAGGAAGACACATGGCTCTGATCGAATGGTGGAGCTTCTGAAGTCTTGCAGGTATTGAGTCTGTCAAGGTATACATGTGCCTTTGTGAAATATTCATTCTTGATCTCATTAATCAGGTGATGAGTGGTGAAATGTAGCAGAGCTGCAGGATAGAACTTAATAATAACTTTGTGAACAAGTTGGAATTGTCGTGTTACTGTGTAATTGATTTGATTTTAAAATGAAAAATAAGTTAAATAAAAAATGAAGAAAAAAGAAGCATATATTTTGCCAGGAAGTGGTGGCACATGCCTTTAATCCCTGCACTTGGAAGGCAAAGGCACTTGGATCTCTGTGAGTTCAAGACCAGACTGTTCTACAAGAGCTAGTCCCAGGACAGCCTCCAAAGTCAAAGAGAAATTCTATCTCAACTCGCCCCAAAAAGAAAACAAACCAATATCATTTGGTAGAAGTGAATATTACAACATGAAAGAATGGAAGAGGGGTAATGGGAAATAAGGGTTTAAGAAGGGATCTTGGAGAAAGTATGTAGGTAGTGGTTTAGCCATGCTAAAAATGTATAAATAAATTTTATGAAAACTCACTACTTTATAATCTAGCTAAATTTTCATTTTATAAAGGATTTAGGGCTGGAAAATGGGCCAGCCATTCAGACTGCAGTGCTCTTGAAGAAGGTGCAAGTTCATAACCCAGTATCCAGTTAGGGTGGATCACAACCAACTCTAACTGAATCTCCACAGGATCCAATGCCTTGGGCATCTATAGGCACTTTCAGGCATATACACAACCATACACATAATTTTAAAAACATCATACTACTTCTCAGCATATGCCCGAAGGATTTGACATCCTACTCTACCAATGCTTCTACAGTTGTGTCTGTCATTACTCTATTTGCAATATCTAGGAAATGGAAACAAACTAACTGTCCAACAGAGAATGGATAAAGAAAATATGGTACATACTCAATGGAATGCTATTCAGCTGTAAACAAAAGTGAAATCATAAAATTTAAAGGTAAATGGGTGGACCTAGAAAATATCCTATTGAGTGAGGTAACTAAGACTCTCAAAGACAAGTGGCACATGTTCTTTCTCATCTAAGGCTCTTAGCTTCAACTTTTCAGCTGTACGTATCCTGGAATAACTGCAGAAACCAGGAAAGTAAAAAGGGGCCATTGCCTGCATACAGGGGTTGGGAAGCAAAAGAGAGAAGAATAGCAAGGTATAAATGATTTAATTGGAAAATGGGAAAACAAGGGTCTCTAAGTAGGGGAAAAAGAAGAGGGGAGAGAAGCAATATGGATGTTTGAAAGGGGAATCATACTATTACACACCTACCTAAAAAATTCTATAATGCATGTAATTTTGTTGGCACATCAAGTTGTAGCACATCCCCTTGTATTAAGGCCGGACAAAGCAATCCAGTATGAGGAATAGGTTCCCAAGAGCCAGCCAAAGTGTTAGAAATAGACCTTGCACCCATTGTTACCAGTTTCACAAGTAGACAAAGCTACAAAATTGTCACATATATGTAAAGAACCTATATTGTTTCCATGAATGCTCCCTGGACGTTGGTTCAAACTCTGTGGATTCCTGTGTGCCAGGTTAGTTGTTTATGTGAGTTTTCTTGCAGTGTCCTTGACCTCTCTGACATATACCCAAAAGATGATCAAACATGAACTTTAGAACCAGGGCCCAGAGAACCCTGGGATGGAACTGATCGGAATGTCTCCTTCCTGAGGACTAGCTTTCATAGTACCAGAAGGTACTATGCAAGCTTCCAAAGGAGAAAAGCAAACAAGAGTCAAACTGAGCTATGAAACCTATAAACCACAATAATGACCATCATAGCACAATAGCTCTAAGGGCATAGTGGCAGCAAACTTACCTTGGAAGTTAGCAATAGCTAATTCAACTTAAGGCTCACATAGCAAGAGGAAAAACATGCTTAGAACTTGAAACCTAGCGAACTACCCAGGAATATTGAAGTCATGAAACCTGGAG